GAGAGAGAGAGAGAGAGAGAGAGAGAGAGAGAGAGAGAGAGAGAGAGAGAGAGAAAGAAAAGAGGGAGTGTGTGTGTGTATGTGTGTGTGTGAGCTTTGTCTCCCCCTTGTGCGGGGGGCGTGATTTCACCTTTCACATCTGGGAAACGAAGGACACTAACCCTCCCAAGGTCACCTAGAAAATTAGTGTTGTGGCCCGATGCGGGGGTGGGAGGAACAGAACCCAGGTTACCCGACTCCAGTTTTGTAGTTCGGCACTAAATCATTTCCCTTCCCTTGTGGGGGGGAAAAAAAAATCATTGGGCGGGGGTGAGGGGGAAGTGAGAGATTAATCAGATTTCCTCTTTTCCCTTACCTCCCTTCCCCCTTAGGAAGATAAAAACTCAGGAAAGCAAAAGAGGTACCCTCTCTGCAGTTCTTAATCTGGGTCCCCGCAAATCCAACTCCACTCCAACCACCCCACCCCGATACAAAGCGATCTTGGCTCCCAGGGCTCCAGGCTGTCCTACCAGAGGTGAGGAGTGGTTAAAACTCAGCCCTCACCTCCAGCGGGTCCCGGGCTCCACGGCGCCCAGGCCCCGCCCCCGCCCGCCCTTCCCCCACGGCCTCCGCACGCCAGCCCCTCTCCCCTCTCCCCTTCGGGCGCACCCACCCCAGATGCCGCCTGGCACCGAGCGCAGCCGCCGCCGTCGCCGCAGCACTTTCCACTTGTATTGATCACCTCTCAGCTCTGCTCAGCCTGCTCGCCGGAGGGGAGCGCGGCCAGCGCGCCAGCCCTTGGCAGCCCCGGCGCAGTCGGGCTCCGGGAGGAAACTCCTTGGGAGCGCCCTGTCCGGGGTGCCCTCTGCGCTCTGCAGTGTCTTTCTCTCTGCCTGGGAGGAGGAGGAGGAGGAGGAGGACGTCTGGTCCCGGCTGGGAGGTGGAGCAGCGGCAGCAGCAGCCGCCGAGGCAGCCGCCGCCGCCTCCGGAAAGGGAGAGGCAGGAGAGATCGAGACTTGGAAACCCCAAAGTGTTCGCGACCCTGCACGGCAGGCTCCCTTCCAGCTTCATGGGCAAAGTGTGGAAACAGCAGATGTACCCTCAATACGCCACCTACTACTACCCCCAGTATCTGCAAGCGAAGGTAAAGGGGCGCGGGGGGGAGGGTAGATGAGGAGGGGGAAGCGGGGGCGAGCTGCGAGCCCCCGCCGCCCCCCGGCGGAGTTGATGGAAGGTTGCTAACTATAGCGCTGGCCTGGGCAGAACCAGACTGCGCGCGGGGCGGCGGCTTCCCGGGGAGCCGATTGCGGGGATCGGGTTACAGAAAGCCGCGGGGGGGAGAGACTAGACAGGAAAGAGCCGCCAGCCCCTTCCTGGCCCGGGAGGCGGGGAGGGTCGCGAGCCCTAAGCAGCGCCCCTTGTACAACGTTGGCTGGCCAGCGGCCAACGCTTGGGGCCCGCGGCAGGACCCGCTGGTGGCACATCTTCGACCCCTTCTCCAGGGCCTCGCCCTGCAAGCAGTAACTCTTGGCTTCCCTGGAGTGGTGCGGAGCCTCCCGCCCCCCAGGGAAGCCCCTCTACCTCCCGCGCGCTCGGTGACTGGGGCTTGAGGGAGGGCCGGGACATTTTCCTCCCCGCCTCTGGCCCTGCGCGCCCGCCCCTCGCCTCTGATCTTTGTGCGGTGTGGCACTTCACCTGGTTACTGATTTCTACTTTTACGCTGGTGTTTTGGGCGGAAAAGTGGACAAAGTTCATTTAGCATTCATTGATGTCCCTTTTAATCTTGTCTGCAGCTTTTGCAAAGGAGGGACAATGGTCAGATTTCCGCGCAGTGAAAGAAATGACTTCGTTTTTATTTTTATTTTTCTCAACTACCCTATATGTTTACCCCAGATCGATTGTCAATGCTGCTATCTCAAAAGTTGACTCGGCACACTCTTAGGTAACACAGCTAATGACATGTAGCCGGGTAGATTGCGGCCAGCTTTCTAGGGACCCCGGGTACTTTGTTAACGGGCCTATCTTATTTTTCCAACAACAATTGGATGCCTCCTGAAATAAATTTTTAAAAATTACATGGGTCCACGAAGAGTGGAAATTTCACTGCTTTGGAAGCTTCTTCCACAATTTGGGAGGGCGGTAGTTGGATGCACCAGCGGCCTTCATCCAGTATCATGTAGCCCAACTCCTGGTGCCCTTCTAGATCACAAAAGAATCAGGTATGGATGCAGTCACTGAACTTTCCATGGGAGATTGCAATCATGCCCTGCTAGCTGGCATTTGGGCATTTCTGGCCTGGTATTAAGAAGCTCTGATTCAACTTGATAAGCTTTTCTTTCTTATGCCGTGTGTGGTCCCGCTGTCATGCACCTACAACATGACCCTGTATTTTTGTCCATGTAAAATAAGGACACTTGTCAGCAAGATCGAAATTTCTTAGCACTGGTGGGCCACACTTTCACTCCCTCCCAATTCCTTGGGTTACCAGAGAGCAGTAAGATGGAAGCAGCAAGGATACCCCGATATTCATTTCTCTGTAGTTCTCATGTAATTGTTGTCAAGAACTTGAGGGAGATGCTAGTTTTTTGTTAGCTACAATGTAGCTGTTCAAAGAAATTTTGTAGTGTAATCAATGCTCTACCTTTTAGACACGTTATATATTTAATGAACTTGTTTAAATTATGCAGTATTGGGTGCCTAAAGGACAGCCTATTCAACACTTAAGTCTATGAATAATAAATACATACACTCAGGTGAGGAAGAAAAAGAGCCATGTTACTACTGGCACATTTACCTTAGTAATTTTTATGTACCATTAGTAAGTTAGAAACCAAGTATATAACATTTAATATAGCTAATGCAATGCCATTTGGCTCCTCCACCCCACCCCCTGTAAATAATTGAAGAGAGAGACAAACGGCAAGAGCCTGCTCTAGTAATTAGGGTCGGATCCCAGAAAGCTTTAGGACCCATTTTCTGAAAGTGTGCTTCCTGCATAAAGCATTTAATATTGATTTGTGTTACGGTAAATGACATTCTCAAAACATTTTTTTTTTTGCTGTTTCAACTATGAAATCTGAAATCTGGTTACTCTGAATTTCTTTGTTTCAGGAGAAAGGTACACATCCTCACTTGACCTATATAATGTGGTATTAAAGTTTGGTAATTAAATCTAAATTCCCTATTGTAAAGATATCTTGATTATCTCAGGAAAATGAAAAATTATCAGATGCAGATTTTAGATAAGAAAAATTTAGAACAAATAGCCCCCCTTTTTTCTCCTTTACATATGTTTTGTTAATGTGGTAATAGTGTGAGTCAGTAAAAAATGTAGACTTAATAACTAGTGTTGCCTTATCTACCTAAAGAGTAAAATCTGCTGTCAGCTGTGAGGATGCTTGGCTGTATGTGTGTTTTAACCTTCCTGAAGGAAGGGATAGAAAATATCACTCTGTTTGAAGTACGCTGATATGTTTGTTAACCCCAGCTGTTTTGAAACTTCTGTTTGGAAACTATATCAAAAACAGAAGAATGGTGTAGTCATTTAAAAAGTGATTTTGACTTGTGATCAAGAGACAGATGTGATTTTCTAGAATCAAAAAGGAATAAATGGCTGTGATTTCTTTCAACAGAGAAATAGATGATACCAATTAAAATGGCATTTTAAAATGATTTTATTACCATATTTTTTAAAAAGTTATATATGCCAAATTCCTCTTCTTGTGTTGATGATCCAATCAGATTATGTTTTGGCAAATTTGTGTGGTAATTTTTTCCCATAAAAACATACTAGTTACTTCAACATTTTATGCAAATATTTATCGGGCTATAATAGGGCACATGACCATGTTGGTATGCTTTGTGCTTTGACAGAAAAAAATCATCAGAAAAAAGAATACATATGTACTAAGTATAAAGTAAATTTGAGAGTGTTATGGAAGGGCAGGACATAGATGGAAACAAAGAAGATTATGTAATTTTCATAATATGTTAGTGTAGAGTAGCATAGATTTCAAGTAACCTGATTTTTACACACTGTTGGATTTTTTTTGTATTTCTCAGGCAGGATGGTCTTATCACAGCAGGTACTCTTTATCACCTGACACATTCATTCTGAAATGTATTTTGATGTAACTTTGTAAACAAAAGCACATTATTGTTCTAAAGGATTAAAGTGACATGCTGTATTATAAAAAAATAAATTCAATGTCCACTTCTCAGCTGCACAGAAAACAATTGGCAGTTAACATTTTAAACTTAAAGATTTGTGGGTACACATTTTCAACCAATGACTATACAAATTTTCACTTATTGTAAAGGCAACCCTTGAATTATGGTGTTTATTTGAAAGTACTACCACATATGTCACTACCAAGTTGTGTATGCAAATATTTATCAGGATTGAAATACTTATTCTATATCTTTTGAAGAAAGGAAAGTACAAAATTTTATTTACATGGTTAGTTTGATATTTTGTACCAGCTAATAGCAATTTGACACATTTATAGTTTTCATTCACATAGTTAGAAAAAATATATTTCTCTTAACTATATTAGAAGTTTGATTACATTTTTAAGTATATAGCAAGATTGATTTCTTTGTATAGGTATATGCTGAAGAGCATTTCTGAACTTAACCTTAAAATCTGATAAAACAATACATGATATAATTTGGGATTTCATTAGTAAGGGATACTAGGACAAAACAGTTTCTCAGTTGAAGTTTTATAGGTATTTACCATTTTGTTGAATTCCTTAACTTTTACTTATTGTAACCAAATGAATATTGTATCAACAGTATTCTTATGTGGAAGATTAGGAATCATGATTTGATACATAAAACTGAGTAAGAAAGTACATTGAAAGTACAAATGTATAAGAACTGGGGTGTTTTGTGTCTTAAGATGTAACCATATTTTAGAGGTGGATAAAGATTGCTTAAACATATCAATTTAGTAATGTAATATTTTACACTGAAAAATCAACTTAATTTCCTTAGAGATATTCTGTCTGTTTGAAAGTTGTGTCAGAAGACTCAAGGTCATGGAAATGTTAAAAAAGAAGATGCATTATAATGCAACACTGTAGTACCCTTCCTTTCTAATAGTTTTCTTTTGGATTTCCCATTCTCTTATTTTATATATTATTTTTTCTATGTTGGTAGTCAAACTTTAAGCTAATAGAAGAAAATAGGAAGAGATAAATAAAGAGAAGTAGGAAAGCATTTAATCTTTCAATATCAGTATAGCTAGATGTACCTTACATTTTTTGTCAATCTAGACTTTGAATTTAAATTCAAAGGTGGGCAATTTGCATGTAAAACAATTTCAAGAAAATACTTTTTAAAAAACTTGACTGATAATTGTTCTAATTTTGTATTTTGCTTAATGCTTTATAAAACTTTAAATTTATCCTAGCTTACTTAACAGGTACAGAAATTTCAGTTACAGGTCTTTTTTGTAAAGACAAACAGTTTTTCCTTTACTTTTTACTAAAAAGGAAGTTGAAAGGAAAGAAAATTATTATTTTTTAAATTTAGGTAGCCAATAAAAATCACATGAAAAAAATCTAGAATGGAGAGATAAGTGCTCAGGAAAAATGAAATGAATACTTAAAATTCATTCATTCTTTCTAAAGATGAAGGATTTCTTATCTAGTTTATTTCATTTTGTTTGATTCACTTAAGTTCATCTTTTCCAAGCATGGTCTTGCAACCCCATTGCCTCTCTTCACAAGATGTGAATACCTCCCTTGTTCCTGCCTAATTCCTGAAACAGTAGGTACTAAGTAAATACTTGTTAATGAACATTACTGAGAAAAAAAATGCATGCAAATTTACCTTAGGCCCAAATCTACAAAAATAATAATGTAGCCTAATTTTCTAATGAAATCTCAATATAGTTTAATTTATGTTTTGATTCATTTTGTTTGTGTAGCAAAACTTTTCAAATGTTTCATGAATTGAGTAAAACCCCTACAAGGAATCACATATTGACTTGTCAAAGCTTAATTGATAGAGGCAAAGTGCTCTTCTATGCAGTCTTCATTAAAAATATGGATGCCAGGGGCTGGAGTTGTGGCTCAGAGGTAGAGCGTTCGCCTAGCATGCGTGAAGCACTGGGTTGGATCCTCAGCACCACATAAA